TTTCTACAGGAAATATTATTATTAGGCTCTTTATCGGGTTTGGTAATATATCCAGTAGAAAAAATAATGCTCAAGGTAGCGCTTTACCGGATATAATACCAAGCTCGGTAAATCGCTCAATAATATTTTGAGTAGAAATAATAATGTTTTCGGTTATTTTTTATCGATTTTGTTAAAAAAAATAATAAAATCGATAGTATCTTTCCTTAACCATATATTAAGGCTGCCGTTCGGTAGAACTTCGAGTCAAAAACTAAAGTTCTTTGACAATTTTTATGATTATTCTTGACATTGACAAACTTATATTTCTTTCTTTTCCTTCTTATTACTTTCTTCATCAACATTTAAAGATGTTTCCCATTTTCAGTTGTTATCAAAAACTAAAGCTCTTCGACATCTTTTATGATTATCCTTGACACTGATAAACTCGTATCATCTTCATCTACAGTTATATCAATTTGGAATTTCTTTTATTTTTTAAAAACTCATGAAATTAAAATATTCACTATTTTTTAGGTTTGTGGAATTTTTTTTTTTAATTTGAATAGTTTGAAGTGTTCATTTGAAAATCTGAATGGCGAGAGACACTTTTTTCGAGAAAACGTAGAACAAATCTTGAAACTGGCTTCACCAGACAATTGACGGAGGAGATTAAAGCATTAAAGATTGAGTTTTTAGATGAGTTTTAAGTGAATTTCAAGAAAAATCAATATGATGAGAAGAACAATGAGGGAAATGGGAACATTTTGGTATTAGTCCTATTGCAACCGGTGACGGCGAAGACTGATCAACAATAGAACTCAAAAGAGTTAACGAATTTTTATAGAAAACGATGAAGATAACACTACATAATTATGTCATTAATGATTTAATAGTTTAATTAAAAAATCAAATTCGGCAAATTTAGTGATAGAATTAAAAATTATTAAAACCTAATAACAAAATAACACAAACCCTAAAGTCCAACAAATAATTGTATAGTTTAACTTTTATTTTATAAAATGTACCTAATTCAATTTTCAATTGAGTGAGAAAAAAAAAGACTTAACTGATATTTTTAGAAAACGTTTGAAGGTCATTGTTGTCTTAAATCCTTTTTAATGGTAATATAGTTTGGGATTTCCATCATCAACTTCAACTTTTTTTTATTTAATCTGATCAGTTTATTAGTTTTTTTCTTGAATGATGCATTCTATATATATATATATATATATATATATATGGAATAATTATTATCTAGGTCTAAGATCTTTAATTTGCTTAAATTCAAAAATAAAAATTTGTGAAAATATATTTGGTATCTAATTTTTTAAAATATAAATGAATAGTTAGTTATTAAATAATTAAATTTAAATATTAATTATTAAAAAATCCATTACATAAATTTTACATGGAGTTATGCAAAAACAATAAAAGTGATAAGGAATATCATAATACAAAAAAAATCTATTTAATTTTTTGATCAAATGAATCAAACTATCAAGATGATTAAATGATAGTTCAAAAAGTTTACATGATAATCTACAATGTTGATGTGACAATTCATTATGTTGTTGTGGCAGTACACGATTTATAATGATGTGGTAAATAACTTTAATTGATTTTTTATTAAGTTTGAGGGCTTAATTGATATTTTATAAAGTTTGAGTACTTGTTTAAATTTTCTAAAAAATTAAGGTATTATTTATATTTAAAAATAGAAAATACAAATAATTATTAATATATTGAATACATTAAATATAAAAATACTAAAAAATAAATTATTAAAAAAATAGTTTAAGTGCCACAATGAGTGTAAAAAAAAGTTTAGGGGCCATATTGATTTTTTCAAAAGCTTGAGGGTTTTAGTACCATTAAATCAAAAAAAAATTGTTTGAAGGATTTGAACATGTGTAAGTTAAGTTTAAAATCTAGATTTCGTATTTTTCTATTTTTAAAATTTTCAAAACATCTTTAATAAAAATACTAAAAACATCTTTTTTATGTTTTCATATTTTCACTTACTTTTGTTTTTATATTCTAGAAATCATTTTTTTCTAATATTACCATCAAACATGTTTTCTCCAATGTTTTCTATTTTCGAAGAAAATGAAAATGAAAACAGCCTATATTTTCTTGAACAAAACGGACCTTAAAATTTTTAACAGTGAGATACTAAACTGAAATAAAAACTAAACTTTAGGTATGATTTTAAAAAAATTGAAAGTTTATATACTAAAACGGATCAAAACTAATTGTTTATACACTAAACGCATAATTTATCCTAAAATTGAACAATTAAATCAATTTAAAAAATTAATTTAGTTTAGATTTCAGTTCTTCACTTACTTTAAGGAGACCCGTATAAAATAACAGAAAAACATGGACCAAAAATATGGTTATTATTATTGTAAAGATATAGTTTTTGGAGCCAATGTCTCCCCCGAGGAATTTGTCCAATATGATGTACTTGTTTGCATGTATTTAAGTGATTTGTTTCCATTAGGCCTTAAGCTGCTTGTAAATTATAGTGACAGTGGCTATGGTGATTATGGTTAATAAAGAGAGAGGAAAGGGAGAATTAATGCTGGTATGAAAAGAAATGAAGAACTAAAAAATAAGTTTAATTTAATGATGATTATGAAAAAAATTGATGACACTTTTTTTGGATTAAGATAAGATGATTATAAAATAATATATGTTTTAAATATTTTTAATCATTTTGACAATAAACGCTCAATCACCTTACTGCAATCGCTGATGCTCAAACTAGTGACATTTAAAAACAAGCAATGATTCTTTTAGCCTCTTAAGTAAGTTGGTACGTACACATTTTAATTGGAATGATTGGATCAATATCCTACATGATGTGGAGGGTTGATAAAATAATTTTTCGACAGCGTGCAAGAAAGCAATAAAGATGGTAATTTAACTCGAATTTGATGGGTTTCGACCCGAATCTATCTGATCGGATTCTTTTAAAAAAAATCGGGTTCGGGTTTGGGTTGGGTTCAGGTGGAGGGTGAAAAAATTCCGACCCGACCCGACCCGACACAAGGATAATAATTAGACCTGTAAATGAACCGAACGTTCAATGAACCGTTCGGCGGGAAGTTCATTTATGTTCGTTTATTTATTAAAGGAACGAACATGAATAATATTTTGTGTTCGTTTAATTAAATGAACGAGCATGAACAAATGGCTCGTTCGTTCATTTACGTTCATGAACATTCGATAATATGTTCATATATTTTTTTCATTTATGTTCGTTCGTTTTTGTGCGTTCATTTATGTTTAGCCCAATATCTCTAGACCCATTTAAAATATTAAAGCCCAATAAATTTTAATCTGATACCCATAAATATTTTAAAATTCAATTAATTTTAAATACAAATAAAAAAACTCAAAGCAATTAAATAAAATATAACCCTAAAATTACTAGGAAAGAAAAAATATATATATTTTCATTTATCTTGGTTTACGTTCATTTATTGTGTTTGTTTATGTTCGTGTTGTTTCATTTGTTCGGTTAAAGTTAAATGAACGAACATGAACACACCTCGTTCGTGTTTGTTTACATGCCTAATAATAATGTAATTTCCTTAAAATTTTTATCATTATTTTAATTAGATCCTTATTTTTTACCGGATCGGGTCAGATTCATACTCTAAAAAATCAGGTCGAGTTGGGTTCGATGGAGGATATCTATTTTTGGATTGGATCAGGTTGACTATAAATCCGATCCTAACCCGAGCAATTGCCATCCCTAGAAAGCAACAACTAGCTTCAATCGTTCAAAACTATGGTATATCAACATGTAGGTAGGATGTGTTCCAATATTTTTTTTTTTCACAGTGATATCTACATACTTTCATTTTATTACAACTTTTCCAACAATTTGTATGAAAAATCAAACTTGTCATTATCTTTTTTTGTGTTATGCATGTTGAAGGAATGAATGTGTTATTCGTTTGGATAAGATTTCCCATAAATTATTTTCATCCAATTGGATTAATAATAAACTCTAAGATAAAACTCTCGAAACGTTGAATGATAACAGACTGTATTATACCGTATATATCTTTTAGGGGTGTATTCGGTTCGGTTTGGTTCAGTTTTTTTATCAAAAATTGAATCGAATCGAAATAAACGGGTTTTCAATATTTAAACCGAAACCGAAACCGAAATCGAATAGTTAGAAAACCGAAAAAATCGAAACCGGTTTTTTTGGTTCGGTTCGGTTTTTTTTAACGGTTCGAGTTTTTCGGTTCGGTTCGGTTTATCGGTTTTTCAATAAAAAAAATCACTTGAAACTATAATTTTTTTTAAAAAAATTGTCCATTCGGTTCAATATGGAACAAATGGGTTCCATATGGAAAACCCGAAACGAATCAAAAAAATGAAACCTTTAAATCGAACCGAAAACCGAACCGTTTAAAGCCAAACCAAACCGAACCAAACCATTTTACTCGATTCATATCGATTTTTCGATTTTCTCAATTTCGTTACTCAGCCCTAATATCTTTGCCTTAAACACCCAAGTTGATAATGGGCACACCCTTTGGCTATAAAAAAGGAGCACTCGTTCACTCCGTTTTCTTTTAGTTTTCTGGTCCCTCTTCTCCTTTATTTTGTTTTTCTGGACCAACTTTTATCAAATACAACCTTTGTTTCTCAAGGCCGAGATTCCGAAGTCATCAAAATTTGGCCTTAGTTAGCTGACTATGAAAAAGCATTGATTTTTTTTTGGGAAGATATTTATTCTCTATCCCTTTGCAATCCTAAAAAATCCCATCTTTTTTTTTGTTTTCTCTCTCTACTTTCTTTGAAATTTCTCGTCGTTTGATGAAGCGATTAATGGTGGATTTCTCTTCGTTTCAAGCTTCTCTTTAACGTGTGTTCTTTCTTCAGCTTTCTTTTTGCCTTTATTCTCCTCGTGTCCCGTTGAAGGAATCTCTTGTCTTTCTTCTTCCTTTTATTTCACTCAGTTCCAGTGAGAGAAAAAAAAAAAAGCTCAAAACGGAGGAAAATGGATCCTTTTCGGTTTTCTTCGATTAAATACACTCAACACCGCACTGAAACCAAGCTCCTTTCACCGCTCTTCAATGTGGGTCTTCAAAATCACCGGCGAAACAAGCCCCGAGTCGTTCGGATTTCTGTTACCGATGCTCACGCAACTGATTCTTCAAGTGATGAAGATGAAGAAACGCCGACGGCGCGTCGTCGTGTGAGAAACAGGGTCAAGAAATTTGTCAATGAGATTACCATCGAGTCGACGAGTAAGTCGTCTTCTTCCCAAAGAATGAAAGCTCGGAAAAGGCTGGCGGTTAAAGCGCCGGCGGGAAAGAAGTTCAGGGGAGTGAGGCAACGGCCTTGGGGGAAATGGGCGGCGGAGATCAGGGACCCGTTAAGACGTGTACGGTTATGGTTAGGCACCTACAATACAGCTGAAGAAGCAGCGGTGGTTTATGACAAAGCGGCGGTTCAGCTGCGCGGGCACGACGCGCTCACCAACTTCATCACTCCTCTTCCAAGCTCCGGTGAGAAATCCGGCGAAGAATCCCACAGCAGTTACCTTCACTCTCCGACGTCCGTTCTTCGTTGCCGCTCGCTTTTGTTAGATGAAGTCGACTCTCAAAGCGTGGAACAAGAGCGTGGGACCGGAAGCCAAGGTCGAGACTTTGCCGACGATCCTTGCTGCATGTCGGGTGAAAACTCATCGGAATATTCCGAGTTCCGGAGTAACATATTCAGTTCGGTACCGGATTTGTTCGACGATAATACGAGTTTAGACAAAGCGTTTCTGGGGGATGATTTCGGGTACCGATATTTGAGTTCGGGTGGGGATTTCCAGTTTGAATTTGGTGTGCTCCCCAGCCGCCAACATGTCCATGATCATTTCCAAGATATCGGGGATCTATTCGGGTCGGATCCTCCGTTAGCCTTTTGACCCTTTTTATGCTCTTTTTTCTCGGTGTAATGCAATGCCGGTTTCACGGCAAGTTTTGTATCCGCGGGAACTGAAAATATCGGCTGTTATTCTTGTTTATAATTTCTCTTCATTTTTTTAGTTGATCTTTATGTTTTTCTTAAGGGTGAATTATTCTAGATATCACCGTATCTTAAGTATTGTATCGCTTATATCACCAAAAAAATAATTTTATCGATTATAACAGTGAATTTTGATTTATGTTTCAATTATATAACTAGGTCGTTAAATTGTTAATAACCAGATCAAAACAATGTCGTTTTAGTCATATCATCATGTTGTTAACGATTTATCGACTCAGTGGTATAATTGAAACGAAAGTCAAAGTTCAATATTATTGTTGACAAAATTAAAAGTTTAATGATATAAATAATATAACGTCTAAAGTTTGATGGTATCTAATGTAGTTTACCTATTTCATTTGATCACTTTCGTTTTTATTTAATTAATAAATGATAAAATTCATTTTTATTTAATTAAGATATAATCACTTCTCTTATTGAATTTAGATGTTTAGTTATCAAATTTTTATTTCCTTTAGTGAAAAAATATCATATTTTAATTAAATAAAAGTAAAAATAATAAAATAATATATTTTTAAAATTTAATAAAAATATATAAAATTACAATAAAAAAAATCAATAATGTAATTTACTTTATTCTATCCCTCATCGTTCTTCGCAATAATTTCATCCGACCATCAATTTTAACCACCGCCTTCAAACTGACACTAACTCAAGCAATAATCTCTACCCAATTGTATAGAGCGTAAAATATAGAGAAATAAAATATATATTAATTTAAATTTTATTTAGGGTAAACTACAAGAATAATCACTTACCTTTTGTTATAAATTTTGCTTACTGAATTTAAAAAATATAAATTTTGGTCACTTATGTTATCGTTGAATGTCATTAACTTGATAATGTGACATATTAATAAAATGTTTTAATTTTTATTTTAACGCCTACACTTTAAACAAATGTATTAATTATGGGTCTTTTATAAAATCTAAAATAATTTAGGGATAAAATTTTAATTTATCTCTTTGTTAATATACTTTTCTCTCGATTCCACTAGGGTTGCATGTTGTTTATCTTCTATAGGTGCCAACCAGTGGCGGCTTTACCCTGAAATCTAAATTTTTTTCGATTAGTTACTTATTTTACTGATGATGCGAAATTTTTCGTGCCCACTAGGGCTGCATGTTGTTTATCTTCTCTAGGTGCCAACCAATGGCAGCTTGACCCTAAAATCTGAATTTAAAACGATTAGTTATTTATTTTACTAATGATGGCCACCCTAAAATTTTTGTGTCCACCCTAAAATCTGAATTTTCTTCAATTAGTTACTTATTTTACTGACGATGCCCATCCTAAAATTTTATTTGTACTTTTTACATTTAAAAATTTTATGTTATTAACATATATGTGTATACCTGAAAAAATATATCGTATCCGCCACTAGTGTCAACGTTTTGTATTCTTGTTCTTGAGGAGCTTGCCTGGTTCCTTTCTTCTTTTTTTCTTTTCACGTTCTCCTCTTCTTATTCTAACGGAAATGTTAAGCAATTTTGCAGATTTATGACTAGAAAAACATAGTAATGAAAAGGAACTCAAACAATTCAATGTGTTCAATCGGCGACGGAACAAAATCCAAAGAAAAGAAAATTAAAAAGGGAAAAATTAAAATTTTGTCCGCAAAGTATTTCTGTTTTACAAAAGGGCCCATAATTAACAATTGTTTGAAGTGTAGGGTTTAAAATAAGAATCAAACTATTTTATTAACGTTTGACATCATCAAACTAATGACAATTAACGTCCTAGTGACCAAAACTTAATGAAACGATAACGTAGATGATCAAAACTTATGTTTTTTGAATTTTGATGGGCAAAAATTTATAAATACAAAAGGTAAGTGATCATTCTTGTAGTTTACCCGTTTATTTGCTATATAGATTATAAGAATGAAAAGCGTATCATATATAGATGAAAAATATGAATTTATCAAAATTCGAAAACAACCCCATAGATTTTTAGGGTAAAAATAAATCCATAGGTTTAGAAAATAATTATCAATCGTACAGTTTTAAGTGTATTATTACCCTTTTATTTATATGTTTCTATAAATTTCATGTAGCCACTTGGAGTGAACTCAAGGCAAGTGCTTGCTCCAAATATAATCACACAAATTTCAACACTAATTTTGCAAGAATGTGCCTCAAATAATGAGCTAATCCTATTTCTATTAATATTAAATTTATGGTTGATTTAATTTCACATATTAATTGAATATTAGTTAATATTAAGTTGTATTAGATTTTAGGATAGGGTTTATACAGGGGCAAAACTAGAAATTTATTATAGCGGGGTTACACATTTTTTTCATAAATATAATTTTTTAATTGAGGGGTCAACTAATTTTTTCTTTATTTTTTTAAAATTTATATTTTTCTATATTAATTAATAATTAAAAATATAATTGGTGGGGACCAAGGCTCCCCTTGCCCTTCCCTGTTTTCGCCTGTAATACCCCAAATTTCGGGTCAGTAGTTCAAGTCAAACCAAGACCCGTAACTCGAGCCCATTAGATCTTCAAAACCAATTAAAAGGGTATTGGGCTTAGTTGGACCAAGAGTATGGAGAAGTGATGATTTTAATTTAGGATTAAAAGAGAGGGACCAAAATAGCAATTTGACCATAGCTTGGTTTAAAGGATAAAAACCCCCCTTACCTTGATTGTTTTTCACATGTAACCTTACCCACCTAAAATATCTTCTCATTCTCCTCTTTTTTTCTCTCTTCTTTTCCTTCTCAAGAGCAAGAAAAAGGTGAGAGCCTTTGAGATCTCAAGCTTAGTTTGAATCAACCAAGGTAAGAGTCTTAATCTCCAACCCTCACGCTTCATTTCAAGCCCCAAATCTTAGGTTTTGAGCATGGTTTCAAAAATGAGTTTCTACGAGTTTTTAAGGGAATCAAAGATTTAAACTCTCTTTTAGTAAATTTAAGTTGTATAGAGTGTTGTTAACTTAGTTTTAAGCCCTAGACAAGTTAGTAATCTCCTTATCTTGCTTTGATTTAGTTAAAAAGGTGGGAGAAAGTTCAAAAGTAAAGGGTAAAGAAAAGTGCCTTCTAGCTTATTTGAGAGAAGTTTTAGCATCCAAGGAATCAGGTAACACACTTACAACCTTTTCATACCATTTCTGAGTCCTTAGAATGCATTCAAGCTAGAAAAGATAAGTTGTAAAGGATGTATGATCATCCATGGTAGATTTAGCATTTGATTTTATTTAACTTGTCTAAAACCTCTTTATGACCCATTCTATCATGTTTAAACTTATATTGGTCAATTGGAAATGTTGGAATGGTTTTGTGAAGGTTTTGAAGTGTTTAAACGTGTGAAAAATTGAAGTTACAGAAGATGTTTCGAAATCCCATATGGTTGGTTTCAAAACCTTTTTGTCTAGAATGTAAATTTTCACAAAGGTTTCGAAACCTCTACACTAGGTTTTGAAACCCCATGCCTAAACCCTAAAAATTTATACTAGATTTTAAAACCTCTACAATAGGTTTCAAAACCCTGCCTGATTTTGGCCAAATAGGCCTAGAATGGTACACAGATGGTCGTGAACTTCTAGTAAGCTTCTAAATAAGTAAACTTCTAATAAAACTTCAAATGAGAACAAAAACAATGTCTAATTATTTTAGAAAAGAGATAAATTATGTTGACAAAAAACTAGTCTTGCTTGAATACTCGGGAAAACAACCATGACACCCAAGTTACTTTCGTAAGTGATACTAGAACCGATGTTTAAAATCAGTTTGAATATCCTTAGGTAGTGTGAAAGGCACTTTAAACTGACTAACTAGGGCCAAGGCCCGACACTCACAAGGGGTAGGCTAGTCGAGGGTGTTGATCGATGTAGAGTTTTGGGTATCATCCTCAGTAGACTAGAGGGGTGTGTGAGCTCTGAGATGTAGAACCCTCAGTCGCACCATGATGTCTACCATAGAGTAGAGAGTGAGTATACTCACTAAAGTAATATACTTGATAGCCTGAGCATTTATTGATACACTTTTAGTATGTTCTAGTTTGTTAGTGGGGCACTGAGTTAGTTAGCTCAGTATTTGGAATTTGTTTCATTACACAGATTAGGTGGAACAATTGAAGAGCTGTAGAGTGACCGAGGTCCTGACCAAGATCATATCAGAGTACGTCTCAAGTTTTTGAGGGGCATGTATATTTATAAACCTTGTTGTAAAGTTGAGTCGTAAACTTATTTAAGAGTTGGTATGTATTATTTTTGAATGCATAAATTTATTTTAGGAGCTCCCCAATGTAAAGTTTTCAATTTTATTGATGGTTGATTTTATTTCGAAAAGGATTTTAAAACGGTCGTTTTAAATTAAGAGAGATGAGAAAAATGTTGGTTATCAACTTTGGTGGTTCTGTGTAGTATCCTAAACAGTCGCCTGTGTGTCGTACGGGTTTAGGGTGTTACATTTAGTGGTATCGGAGTAAGGTTTAGACATTTCTAGGACCTACGGATCAGTGTTGGTAAAGAGTTTATGAGTATTTAAACGTACTTCTGTATCTGAAGTAGTTTATATTATATGAGGATGAGAAACCATGCCACAGTAAAGAGGGCAGGCAAGAGCGTAGAGCTTCCTTAGCCATTAATTCTGGTGATGAGTTCGTCCCAGACTCCTAGCATGGAGAGCTTGGAGACGCAGGGGTTGATGAAGCGAACTTATATAAGAATCTAACCTCTACCCTAGAGCGTATAGCTAGAGCCCTTCCTAGGACGCCTGTTACCCCACTCGTTCAGCCATCCCAACTAGTTCCTCCAGTTGTAGCACCTCAGAAAACCCCAGCAGACAGGCTCCGGAGATGCCTGACCATTGATTTCTTTGGCGCAAGAAATGATGATTCTGTCGTAACTGACTAGTGATTAAGAGAAACCTTTAGGACCCTTCGTCAGCTGCATCTCACCCCCTAGAGAATGTTAGAGTGTGTCATCTCCCTACTAAAAAGTGAAGCCATAGACTGGTTGGAAACCGTCGAGATGTTTTTAGAGCCTGAATGACCTACC